CGAGAGCGCCGCATGCTTGAGCATCTCAACCATCCATTCCTTTGCAATCTACGCTACAGCTTCCAGGACATTGAATACTTGTATGGCCAATGCCATTGCTCCTGCCTCCACCAACCCACGCTGACAGGGATAGATACATTGTCGTGGACCTAATGAACGGCGGCGATCTACGCTTCCACATTTCGCGAAAGACGTTTACAGAAGAAGCTGTGCGCTTTTGGATAGCAGAGCTTGGTTGCGCTGTGCGCTACATACACCAGCAAGGCATTGTGCACAGAGACATCAAGCCAGACAATGTGCTGTTAGACTCTGAGGGCCATGTCCATCTGGCAGATTTCGTAAGCTCGGCTGCAATGCGCCTCGCCATTTGTCTTTGCTGACACGTGCAGAACGTTGCCTCTGATTTTGTACCACACAAGCCGCTGACGAGCAAATCGGGCACACTCGCCTATCTCGCTCCCGAAGTATACGAAGGCAAAGGCTATTCTTGCGAAGTCGACTGGTGGTCGCTGGGCGTGCTCTTCTACGAGTGCATATACAACAAGCGACCATTTGAAGCCAGCAGCCACGACTCTCTCGCCGCCAAAATCTTAAAGGGAGAACCTACCTATCCCGTCACGAGCCCGCCTGTCTCTATGCCGTGCTTGCATGCCATCAGCTCCCTGTTGGAAAAGGACCGAAGCAGGCGCATCGGCGCCATTGGATTTGATTCGTTCATTGACAACCCTTTCTTCCGGCCTATAGATTTTTATGCGCTCGAGCGCAAGGAGATTGAGCCGATCTTCATACCTTCCAGCGATAAGACCAACTTTGATGCGACGTACGATCTCGAGGAGTTACTGCTTGAAGAAGCGCCGCTTGAGGCCCGTGCCCGCCGGCAGAAGCCAAGAGAAGCTCTCAAGGAAGATGCTACCGAGCAGGAGATACGTGCCGACGAGCTGCACAGGATGATTGAGACGCTGTTTGAGCCTTTCAACTACACCACAGCTGGCGATCAACGGACTCCTGCCACCGTAGCAGTCGCTGACCCCCAAGACTCGGGCGCCGGCTCACGAACCAGCAACCACAGCCAGCCCGACCACAACCCCACCTCTGCGCCATCTCATGGCGACTCTTCTGGACGTCACTATGCCAACTCAAAGTGTCAAGATACCGACCTCCACCCCACTCGCTCCACTACTACTGCACGATCGACACAATCACCAAACGGCAGTCCACCTCTGCCGACGAGCGTACTGCAACACACTGCCAACAACAGCTCACCCACGTCGCAACGTGGTGAGCACGTTGACTACTTCCCTCACGACGGCTCCGAAGTCCCCACTCCCTCGTTCTCTCGCCCTATGAACAGCCGCCAGCGAGGCTCCCAACGCAGCACAAGCATGGGCGGAGGTGTACAGGTAGTTCTCAATGAGACTGGTTCATGGACCGAGATGGCTAACCAGAGCTCTGCGCTTGTACAGAACGCCCAAACTGAGAAACCATCCGGCATGCTCGGATTCCTCAGTCGCAAGAAGGGCCGGGACAGGAGCCCCAAGGCCAAAGAGAGAGGTGTTCTGGGTAAAGAAGGTGCGCGAGTCATCATCAGCAATACCTGAACAACCTCACTCTTTGTTTGTTTTGTACGCATCACACACTACAGCCTCTCTCACTCTGTTTCCCTAACCATTGAACGAGTCCCCTTGCGTCATTATCATCATCTCTTTCGATTCTCATGGATGTTTTATTTGGCGGGCGCAGCATGCTGGCGTCTTCCCTGGGGCATGAACTTTTCGTTATGCCCAACCTCTCTCACCAAACGACCTTTTGCGACGCCCTGGGCCCTTTTATATACGCGGCCCCTCATCCTCTCTTAACTTTTTTTATTGCATCAACACTTTGCATGTTTCCCACCCGATCCATTCACCTTTTCGCCAAAGGCTTGAGAGGGAAAAAAGGTGTGCGATATCTAGGCGTTGTAGGCTTATACTGATTTGCCAAAATGCTGTTTTCCCTTCCCTAACTTTTTTTTTCTCCTTACATTCATACGGAAGTTCGAGATGAAGAGAAAGAGAAAGAAAATGGGAGGAAACGCAGCGAGCAAATGGCTTGAAGAAGCTATATGTTATCCCTCGACCCCGCGATTTCTGAGACGGAAGAAACGGCAGATATAGATGGAGGGGGTGATGGTGGCTGGGGATTAGCGATGGAAGTGAAATGTTAAGAGGCCAAATCAGTCTTAACTGGACATACTCGGTACCTACGACGAACCCAACATTAACACCACCACTACGACCACCATCCAGCCGCTCCCGTAATTTCTTTTTCCTTTTATCTGGTTTCGCTGGACGCATATGGGCGTAAAAGAAATTAATTACGCTATGGAAGGCACACGATGTACGCGCTCATGTCTGGGGAAGTTTGTCTGTTTTATCTGTGTTTTTTTGTTGGGCTTGGGGAGAAGAGATCTCACAATACGATGGCTCTTTCTCCGAGAGGCAGGAAGGAAGGAATGCGGCATATGCTACGGAATGAGGAGGAAGTATGTATGGGTTATTGGGAAAGAGCGGATGAGGGAGAGAAGGAAATGATAATAGGAAAGATGGAGGAAGAGAGAGATTGGTGAGAGATCTGGATTACATAACCTTACAAATACCCATGTTTTTTTAGCCTTGGTTCTCGTCTCCTTCTCGTTTCATGCCTATCCTATCTGCTGAATTGACCATTTGTGACAATGTTAGACAACAAACATCACACAACATGTATGTATAAAACCCGAGACAACAGAGAGAGACTCAGGAGAAGAAAAGTTGGAATATTTCGGGTATCGAGTGTAATAAAAACGCCATCTTTTTTATCTTCTTCTTCTTCATCGTCGGCCTAATTCTCCCCCTTCCCCCCCACGATTCTCGGCGAACTTACCCTTCTTGAGGAAAAAAAAAACGCAACAAGTAGGAAAAGAAAAAAAGGGAAAAGGAAATTGAAATATAGGGCCCAAAATAACAACATCAACATCAACCCATATCAACAAGGATGTTCATATAACACAAAGCACTCGCGCTCATGGATTTCAATTATCACCTGGGCTTAATACTCGACCTAGCAAGCCACAAAGCAACACTCTCCTTTGCAACATCACTGCCCCAGACTCCATCGGCACCACCACGTCGCCACTCCTCGCCCGAAGCATCTTCGCCGCCACCACGCGTAGCCTCTCCAAGCAGAACCTCGAGATCGCGCTTCTGGCTCGAGAGCCAGCGCTTGAAGAAGGCCACGGGGTCCTTTGACATGCTAGTGAAGAAGGCGTGTTTCGCTTTGGACTGGCCAATGGCGCCCATGAGGAGGACGAGCTGCTCGTCGATTTTTTGGATTTCTTGGAGCGTCTGGATGCTGTCTGGGCGGCGGAGGATGTCTTGGAAAAGGGGCTGCATGGGGTCTTCGAGCGCGACTTGGACGTCGTAGACGCTGGCCTGGGATGCCGGCTTGCCCGAGTCGGCGGGCGGAGAAATGTAGTCCTTGTCGACGCGGATCGTGTATTGGAGCTGGATGGGCGGGAGGGTGGTGAGGTGTGGCTTGATGAGCTGGGGTAGGTTGGGAAAGAAGAAGTGGTCCTGGCCGCCAAAGAGTGCTTTCAATCTGGCGTCGCAGGCAAACTTGCGCTCGTCGTCTTCTTGCTGGAGGTGCTGCGATCTTGCGTACTCCCAGATGCCCATGAGCACACCCGCACGGTCCTCCTCGTCCGTGTCGAGCAGCTCGGCTAACGGTTTGCTGAGGCGGAAGACCTCGGGATTTTGGTACCGCTGAAGGTTGATTGTGATGTTGATGTTCTCGTCACCCTTGCGCTCAAATTCAAGCTCGCTGAAATTGGCTTCCTTGGCTGTCGGATTCTCGGGTCGCTTCCACTCGATCTGCGTAAAGTTGTCGGGTTGTAAACTCTTGGCGCGGTCAAAGTCGATGTTGATGGATGTGAAGTAGTGCGAGAAGAGCTTGGGTTTCGCGGCAGGCTTGCGCTCGGCCGGGGCGCCATCTTCGTCCCTGGTCGCTTGTTAGTTCCAATCCGTGTGAATATTTTTTTGCGCGCCGCTTCAGAGGCGCAAAAGGCGCATGCAGAGCCGGAGTCGCAAGCTCGGTTTGACGTACATAGCATCGGCATCCTTGTCTTCGTCCTCATCATCCTCTAGACCGTCGTCGCCTTGCTCGTCAAGCAGGCGTCCTTGGATCTTGACGCGGTACGTGGCGTTGTTCTCGCTCTCAAAGTCAAAAGCATCGGCGTCGATTCCGCTGCTCTGCCAAGGCTGGTTTTCGGCCGTGTTAGATATCCAAATGCGCATGGTTCCATAGCGCGACGCTCGCGAGTGGTGCTTCGAATCCATGACATCGAGCTTCTTGCGCATCATGGTCGCGTCGAGTGTGCGCTCAACTTGGCGCAATTCCTTGTATCGGGCGACACCGTCGCCGATGCACACGTCCTCAACGCCCTCGGGGATGTTCTTGTCGGTGGGATTCTTTGCGATACGACGCATCTTCTCGCGACGCTCTGCTTCGGCACGCTGTGAAGCCTGCATGCTGGCGTTGGTGTTGTACTGGGGTTGCTGGGGCGGGTGCTGGGGATGGACAATGGGGCCTGGATTGCGAAACAAGTGAGCGAGGTCGTTCCTGCTAATCATTGTATTGTACGGCTTCGGGGCGCAAGGGCAGGGACAGGCGGTGGGGGCAATGGGGGCGTCGTGTGGCAGCGGTAGTGGGCACTCTGGGACTTACCTGGCCGGCGTGAGGGCGTAGCTGCATTGTGCTGTTGCGGATAATTATATCCCCGTGCCTGGTAGTTCGGCTGCATGTTGGAAAGAGGATGTAAAAAATGGACGGCAGCAAAATTGGCGATGCGGGCGCGTCAGTGGAGATGGAAGGGTGATAGGGATGGTCACGTCTTTGGAGACGCGTCAAGGTTGGTTTGGGGACGTTAACACATGCTGCACGGATACCACCATTAGCTCCCCCTATGGGCATGCGGGGCAACCATTCCCCCCCACCCAGCCAGAGAGGCGCCCCCCGACCTTGTGCATCTGTTGCTTTCCAGCCTTGTCCAGCCCGAGTGCAATTGTTCACAGGACGTCTGCAGCTGGGCCTCGCATAGTTTGCTTTGCTGCCGCAGGACGTCGTCTTCATTCACTGCCCGTGCATTGTGCTTGGCGGCCCATACGTCTGCGTGGTGAAGCCGTGGGAAGCATGCCCTGGGTTCGTCTGGACATCATCGTATTGGCTTTCTACATCTCATCGGTCTAAAGTCTACCGAACCCAGTCCACCTGTCCGGATACCCCCTTGGGTGAGCAGACAGTAAAGATGCATACACAGAAAGTGGGCAGCCCACTGAACAAGATCATCAATGTTCGCATACCAAATAAGCCGCCATCATCCCTCTGGGACATTGCTATCCAAGACGGCAGGATAGCCTCTGTATATGCTCACAATGATGCTTCGTCGCACGAAGAGAGCGAACACACTCTGGACGGACAAAACCGCCTGCTTGCGCCATCGCTGTGCCATGCCCACATCCATCTCGACAAATGCTTTCTCCTCCAAGACCCCAAGTTCAGCGACCTGCAGATTGAGAGTGGCGACTTCAACGAGGCCATGAGCATTACTGGCCAAGCCAAGTCTCGGTTCGTCGAAGATGATCTGCTCAGGAGGGGCACGCGGCTCATCGAAGAAAGCATCCAGCACGGCGTTACCGCCATGCGGGCATTTGTAGAAGTCGATGGCGTCGTGGAATTGAAGTGTCTGCACGCAGGCCTGAAGTTGAAAGAGCTTTTCCAAGATCGGTGTGAGGTGCAGATCTGCGCATTCGCTCAGCTGCCACTGTTTTCTGGCCAAGATGAAGGTGCACAAGTAAGGGAACTGATGACGGCTGCCGTCTCTTATGAAAAAGTAGACGTGCTTGGTAGCACGCCGTATGTTGAGGACAACGAGCGCAAATCTATAGAAAATGTGCGATGGATCACTCAGTTGGCCCTTCAGCATGACAAACACCTAGACCTTCACCTCGACTACTTCCTCGAAGAGGAAAAGCAACCGCTCGTTTGGACTGCCTTGGACATCATCAGAGAGCTTGAATGGGACAAAAAGGACGGCGGCAAACAGATAGCGCTGGGACATTGTACCCGGTTGACAAGGTTCCGGAACGACGAGTGGACGCACCTGAGACAAGAAGTGGACAAGTTGCCCATCTCTTTTGTTGGCCTTCCCACTTCCGACCTATTTATGATGAGGACTCCGGAGAACATACGTGGGACGTTGCCCATTACAGAGCTCATCAATGAGCATGGCTTCAATGCTGCCATTGCTATCAATAACGTAGGAAATGCCTTCACTCCCTATGGCAACTGCGATCCTTTGGTAAGAACTTAGCCTCATGCTGGTATAGGAACTCAATACTGATCCATTCTTTCAGGCTGTCGCATCGATCGGGGTTGGAGTCTACCAGGCTGGGACAAAGAAAGATGCTGAGCTGTTATATGTAAGTCGCCTGGGGATCTACCTGCAACTTGCCACTAATCATTTCCACGTATGCAGGAAACCGTTTCTACCCGTGCAAAGACTAGCATTGGATGTGAAGCTACAGATCTGACCTTACAGCCGGGACAGCCTGCCGATTTTCTCATGTTTGATAGAATGGAAAACGGCTGGCACTACAGGAAAAGCATTGCAGAGGTTGTTTACGATGCTGGACATGCTCGTCAGACAGTCTACAGGGGTCGATTGACCGCCTCTCAAGGTTGATTGCAAGCCTTCCGCCCAGCTACTACAATACAACAAATCAACAGCCTCTTTCGTTTCATACTCACTGCAGTTGAGGTGTGAATGACGCTACGGTATGAAGAATTTGAATACTGTAGCCTTTTGCTTCAAGACCTCTTTCCTTTTTGGGGACTGGGCATGCGATGTAGCGCCTTCCTCTTACTCGTCGTGACTGCCTTTTGTCATCCAGTGGGGCCAATCATGCCACACACTGCACAAACAATCTACTTCATCTGCAGTCATCCGCCTACAAACGAAACATCGAGTGGAATCACCGCCATTTGGTGGTGGAAAGCGGTGTGCACGAGGGCTCATGTGTAATTCACCTTCACTTCACCAGAACGCGCCTTGCACTCCCGGACTTACCGCTTCAGGTACTAATCAACAACAACAAAAGCTATCCTAAATAGCCCACACAAATACAAATACGAGCCGAACTAAGAGCAACTCCACTAGCGCGTTACGACCATCGGTGAGAAGCTGCAGTATCCAGTCAGGCCAACATGGAGACCTCAACAGAGCACAAAGCTTATCGCTCTGCACCTCAGCCACCGAGCCAGGAAACTTCGGAGCATCGGGTTCCGAACAACGATGTGCAAGGGCAATCTTGCTCTTTGCATCAATCAACAGTTATCGGACAACTCGTCAGCATATTCCTAGCCAACGTCAAGGTAAGCCGTTGCTATAAGCAGACATCCACCAACCTCGCCACCTCTCTGAATATGAACATGGCTAACCTATGCAGTCTCGATTTGGAGAAGACTCGCCTGAAGTCATGACAATTTGGAACGTCCTCGGTGCATTTCGAGCTGGGAGGGAATCCAAGAAAGACACCCTCATCACCATCAACCACGCACTGGGCCACCACAGAGACCTCAAGCAAGATCTCATGAAGGTACTGTACCATCCCGAAGCAAAATGGCAGACAGGCGATTTCGAGCTTGAGCCCCATCAGCCCATGCACTCCCCTACACCTAGCTTCTTACAACCGGTTCATCAACCCCAGATCCGCTTGCCGCCAATCTTGTGGTTCGAGAACAGACAGACCTACCCGTCGATCAGTTCTGGTCATGATCGGAACCGGCCTCCTATCGTACCCAAGCTGGAAGTCAATCACACAAAATCTCCATCGGTCCCTTGCTCTGACATTCCTGCTCGTCCCCACGAAAGCCTTACGCTTCAAGCAGGGCCTTTGGAGAGTGTGTCATCCGAGACGACTAGAATTCCTGTTCTCGGTGTTCCAGTGGCGGTTGATGCTGGCCAGACCGTCAACGATATGCCGCCGCCTTCAAACAAGCGTCGCCGCGAAGCTTTTGAAGAAAAGGCTTTGCAAGAGGCAACAGACCGAGCGAGTTCTGATACCACTGACCATATTCGCTTGCTAACCGCAGATATGGACCAACCGGTCGCTAAGCGCCAGTCGGAGAAGAATTCCAAAGCAAAGCATCCACAAGCTGAGAGCGGATCGAAATCATACATTCATAGTCTGTGTGGTAGAGGTTTCTCAACCAGATCAAAAGTCAAGAAACATCATTGGGGGAACGTGTTGAATGATCTGGAGACAACTACAGGCTGTTGGGCGAAGCACGGAAAGCCGAATGTCAGCTGGGACGAGCATCCAAGTTGTACGGAAGGGGTGAGGGTACCTGGTCATGCTAAGATCACACCAGCAGCGATGGGAAAAGACGAGCCTCAAGCAGCACCTCACATGATGGCTTCGATGATGCCCGCCCCCGATGAACCGCCTGAAACCGCGGCGCGTTCTGTTGATCTTCGTGAACATTATCAAGAAGCCTCTCAAGGCCCTGGGCTGTACCACTCCCATCGGCCACCTAACCGATCTAGTTTCGACACTCTTTTGAGTGCAGTGAACGCTGCCTCTGAAATCGATGCACGGAACCCGCAGGGACGTATCGACTCTGTCGTTACTCATATCGGTGCGCAGGCTACTGCCGTCGAAGATACGAGGCAGTACGTAGTGAACTGGCAAAACACAGTGTGGGGCCATGACGAAGAAGCGGCGGCTAGTGGATACCCGCACCCATATACTACGCTCCAACCCAGTATGATGTATCCGTTGGGGGGATACCATGTGCCTGTAGAGGTTGCTCTGCCCTTTTATGGAAGGCCTCAGTCGCATACTCCGCAGATGTACCCATGCACTGAGGGAAACTGGATCGACGATCAGGTATCCATGCTGGAGGGTGCATACAGCAGCCCCGCGCCCCTGGAGCCACGGTGCCCTGACCCGTACGCAGGGAGCCGACCGATGTAGAGCGGTTGACCGTCACCGGGGACCTGGGCGTGTGCTATGTGAAAGGGCCGACATGTATGAACCGATTTGTTTCCGGGTAGCCGGTCCTGCAGATGAGACTAGTGCACGACTACAGATGGATGTACATCAGGGAGGCTATTGTTCATGTACTGGCATGGCCTGTGTGTGTGTGTGTGGCAGGCGGCGTGGCTAGTTCCATTTTTGGAGACGACTACTACTAGTACAGGGAAGATCTGGGGCTGAACTTGTACGTTTAGTGAGGACTACAGCACCAAATGGAACAATCTCAGGCTGATGGCGATGCTACAAGGTGAAGACGTGTATGCTTGGGTGCAGGAGGTCCTGGGCGGCGGCGGTGGTGGTGTTGCGGCATTATTCCTGTTTGTAGTATGCCGTCCCGCCGTTGGCGAAGTAGTACTAGTAACCGTGTGGCATGGTCAAGCTTCTGCGTCGCCGGGTAAGTAGTAGTAAGCTCAACGACATGGGGCGCCGCAAGGCCTGGGGCCCCAACAATACCCCACAAGATTAACCCAGCTCTCCCCATGTTGGGCGTCCTGTCAAGATGCACGCGTCTAAGTTTTTCCGCAACTGTCCACCAATGGCGACTTTTGCCGGTGCCTTTTGTGCTGCTGATCCTTGCACATGAGAGATTATACACATGCGCTGCTTGGAGCTATGACGCCCGCGGCTTGCAGCAAAGCAATGGACCTACACACGACGCGACCCTGGCGACACCGCGCAAACGTGCAGCAATTGAGGGCACACGGCCACGTCAAAAGGCAATTTTCATGGCTCGCTGCGACTGAGGGGGGGTTGTGTGAAGAAATTGCAACGCCGTGCAACCTGGTCTCGTCATAGCATGTCGGGTTCCTGGGACCTGCCACGGACATTTTCCCTGCGGGGAAACGCACGTTCGCTAGTAGCACTACCAGTAAGTATCCTTGAGCAGTGGCCCGCCCCAACCCAGCACAACCCCGTTGGTGCTTTTGCCTAGAGGCTGGGGAAGTGAGTGAGCGGGAGAGAATGCTAATTCCAAGCTCGTGACCGGTGAAATCGCGCCAGTAGTCGACCCCGTTGCTACTATATAAACATGTACATGCCTCCGTCTTGGAGATCGTCCCCGTCCCCACACCACATCTCATCAACTCCACTTCTCAACTCGCTCGAGTTTGACTAGTCACGATGCGGTTCTTGTCGACTCTTCCTCTCTTTGCTGCAACTGCCCTCGCGCAGTACAGCACCGCACCGTCTGCCAACTCGTCTTGGACTCCGGGCCCGGACAAGGATGGCAAGTACGAGATCTCGTCCGAGGGTATTCGCGCTCGCTTCATTCCCTATGGCGCCTCTATCTCCAACCTGTTCATCCCGGGCAAGGACGGTAAAGAGTTTGACATTGTCCTCGGCTTCGACAATGCCACCGCCTACGAGGGCCCCGTTCACCCCCATCTTGGCGGTGTACCCGGCCGTTACGCCAACCGCATCAAGAACTCGACCTTCACCATTGACGGCCAGGTCTACCACGTTCTGCCAAACGAGAACAATGGCGCAGACACCCTGCACGGTGGACCAGACGGATGGGACTATCGCAACTTTACTGTTGTTGCCCACACCCAGGACTCGATTACTTTTTCCATTGTCGATCCCGATGGCAAGGAGGGCTTCCCCGGTGAGGTCGTCAGCTACGTTACCTACACCGTGACCCCACACACTTGGCGCTTCAAGATTGTGGCCATTGCTACCACCAAGAAGACCCCCATTATGCTGACCTCCCACGTAAGTTGGATTTATTAATCTTCTTTTCGAATGACCGCTAACAAACAAAAAAAACTAGACCTACTGGAACTTGGACGGTTTCACCAACCCTGAGGATTCGACCATTTTCAACCACACTTTCCACATCCCTTACTCTGGCCAGCGCGTTGGCGTTGACAACATTCTCATTCCCGATGGCACCATTCTGCCTAATGAGAAGTACTCGGTCAACGACTTCTGGTCTGCTCCCAAGCAGATTGGCGCCAACCAAACCGCACCCGAGCTCCTCGGTAACTGCGGTTTCAACTGCACTGGTTACGACACCTGCTACCTCGTCAACCGCAGCCCAGCTGAGGCTCTCGACTGGCGCAACTCTGGCCCCGTTGCTTCGTTGGCCAGCGAGTGGTCCGGCATCAAGCTCGACATCTACTCCGACCAACCCGCCTTCCAGATGTACAGCTGCCCCGGTCAAGATGGTACGTACAAGTTATCCTATTTCGCCAAGTTTCTGCATACTAACAAGGCTTTTTTTTATTCAGGTACCCTTCCTATCAAGTCTACCCAGGGTGCCGAGGGCGGCAGCCGTTTCGTCCCCAAGTACGGCTGCGTCGTCATGGAGGTCGAGGACTGGATCGATGCCATCAACCAGCCCGAATGGCAGCGCGAGAAGTACCAAATCTTTGGTCCTGACAGCCCTCCTTTTACTCTTGAGGCTGCCTATGTCTTCTCTACTACCAAGTAAAAACAAAAAAGCTGTAAAATTGCTTCTAGGGGGAGCTAGGGAACGATTTACCATGAATGTTAATGTAATGCGGACATATCCACCATGTCCTAATTTTAATACAGGCGTGTTGAAGCTTCATACTGAGTATCTTGTTTACTCTTGGTGCTATTGTTGACATGTTTGATTGCGAATGACATGACCTTCTACCCCCTGTGCGAGGCGAAAACGCGTTCTACTGCTTGCCGTAAAACAAGCATCCCCCCCCCCTCCCCCAAACTCATTTGCACATTCACTTCTAAAATGATTCACTGTACTCGCACAGACTCTGAAAGCAACTTCATGCACTAACCAATCATTTTTTTATGAAATCCCAAAGTTCATTCCCTTCCTTTCTTAATTTTCCGACCATCCACATCGACACCACGCACTGTCGCTTTTCCCATTTCCATTTGTCCTTGCATCGTTCACGTGCGATCGGTTGCTGCCAACAGACTTCTACATAGTGGGTGGAGAAGCGCGCTCTGGGCATGCGTCTTTACCAGTGGAGTAATGCAGAGGTAAAAGCAAAGAAAGCTGGTGCGATTGTACCGCATGAGGTGTTTTTGCGTTGCATAGCTCGGGTGTTGTGTGTGTACTTTAACTCGCTGGTATACTATTATGCGTGATGACGACCATGTTGATATGGCAGTGCTTTGGGTGCGGGATACGCCGGTTTCGCTTTATTATTGCATTTTGAGGGAGAAACGTGGGCGGTGTGGATTGTGGATGGTGAGTAGGTCGGGATTGCTGACAGAGGCCATGCAGGAACGAATGGCGATAGTTTGATGCGATGGTTTGATGGATTGGGCTGTTCTGTCGGCTTCAGCTGATCTGATGGTTGCGCATCGTCTGATGATAGATCGGATGGCNGGGGGATGGTGATGAGGTTTAGGGAGGAGGAGAGTTTTACGTTGGTAGCGGGGATGTAGAGATCATGCGAGGGAGTGGGATAAAAGAGTCCAGCTTCGCATGTTTGCGGTTACAATGGGCGTGTTTCACTACCCCGTTTTATCATTGCGGCGTCTGTCTTCTTTTGTATCCTGGACCACTGCGATTTTGGGTTAGTTGTTCAACCCATGAAATTTCTAGCAGTCAATCAATGTTGCAGAGCTTACATCCACTCTTGATCCAATGATTCATGTACTTTCGTAATCGATACAAAAGCGCTGCTTCGTCCACTACTGGCATTCCCTTCTCAGCCAGTCTACGATTGGCTTCTTCCACGACATCTTGACGCACGTCTTGGGGAATTTGCGTCCAGTAGCACAGGTTTTTAGTGGGTATCTTGTCGATATGCGCGAGCACTGCCTCGCGCAGAAGTTGACGTGGGAATTTTGTCTCGGTGGTTGCCTCCCAGCTGTGGCAGTGTTCTATATCTAGGCAAGAGTCAGGATAAACATTGGGAGGGGGGCTGTGTTGCAGGGCTAAGGCTAAGCTCACCTCGCTTCTTTACTCGCAGTTCGGGTAGGCATTTTGATATTCGCCATTCGATTGCTTCGTCGTCGAGGGACGGAAGTCCTTCTTCGTGAAGTGCAGACCTTATTCTGTCCATCATTTCTTCTTTTTCGGGCTGACTGATGTCGCTCAGTTTGGCGCCTGCATAGTCTTGGCAGACTGCTAAGGAGACACGCTGGACGCTGGTTAGTCTTGAACCTCGACAGCACGTGATGCACAGAACCATGACAAGGTGTTCCAGGCGAGATGATATGCATACCAAGAATATGGGCCATTGCTTATCCGAGAGACCTAATAGTTTTCTCACCTGGTCCCGCTGCATCCGCCGCGGTATGGGAGTCGCGGTGCGGGCCTTTGCCGCCCATAACATTGCTGTAATCCTCATGCTAGCCTAGGGTGACATGTGCGGAAATGTCGAGGGTGGGCTGCTCGCAACATGGCGCGCTATGCAGTCGATTGAGCCGCAGAGGCTGTTTCTCGAATCAAGGCTGGATGACAACTCGTAGGCGCCCTTTGGTTTGATCCGACATCAGATCCTGGCTGGACCTATTTCTAGGCCGCGCGCTAACATCCCGGCGGCAAAAACGCCAGACAAACCACACTGGTCCCCACTCTTAATACTTTGCAGCCCGTGACAGCCTGCACAACTGCAGCATGTGCACCTTTTTTGAGGCCAATCAATAGTATTGAGTACAATCTTTACCGCGCTGCCAAGTAAACGCTGCAATCCTCCCGCTAATCTTCCGCAAACTGGTACTCGTGTAGGTGGCGTAGTGCAAAATGCGGGTCTCGCCTTGCGCGACGTTACGGAATGGGGCCAAAACAGCATGCAAGGCTGGACGCCTTAGACATGTATACCTTGTATGATTCTTGTCTTGCGAGATACTTGTAGTGGATACTTTCCTCATGTACTTCTCATTCCTCCTCTCCTCCCAACGTTTGGGGCTTCACGTTGTCGACGTTGCCTAGTTGCACCAGCAAAAAAAATGGCCTACGAACCAGTTGGCCGTACCGACGGCTCGTGGATATCAATCACTGACAATCTCGAGACGAGAATGCAATACGATGCCGGCTCATACAGTAGCGACCCTTCAGCAACAGGTTCAGTGCACTGTGGAGTAGGAGATCGAGCCAAAAATGTCAAGGGTGCAACCTGGTCTAGTGAATCAATATCAGAGCAGTGGCCTTTGCAGTCGCAGAAACTGGCACCGATGACGCCGTGGCGTGGATTCATCATGATTTTTGACGTGATTCTGGCGTCCACGCCCATCATGTTTATTAGTAGGTTCAACGTTGTTCAGTTTCCTTGATTGCAGGCTGATGGGGTATAGCTCTCGCACTCATAGCTGCCAGGCTGGACGGGACGGAAATGTCAGACTATGGATCCAATTTGAAAGAGACATTACTCGTATCGCCAACCATCTTTCCCCTTCTCTTTGCAGCCTTGATGGGGAGGTTCTTTCGCCATCTTGGTCTCTGGCTGGCGCAGCGAGGGACAACCCTCGGTCGTCTTGAGCAGCTAGTCGGCTGTCAATCTGTCTTCTCTGCGCTTGAGCGGCAGATCTCTCTCCGTTCGTGGTCCATTATCGGAATAGCATCGATTCTGGTCTGGCTTCTCTCACCAGTCGGAGGTCAATCAGCACTGCGTCTGCTCGGCCAAGAAAGTGGGGAAATTCATTCGACTCGTCAACTTCGCTACTTGAACCCGATGGAGATAATGAAAAGCATAATGGTTGGTGCCAGCGGCGTCAACGGCGCTCGGGGTGGCTTCACGGCCATTTGCCTTGCAGCTCTTCTCAGTAGTTCCAAGGTTAAAAACACGCCCATGGACTTGTGGTAAGTGATTTTGGTAACTGAATGTGTCACGTACCGTTCTATATCCGAAATAGACTAACAGAAACTTCGCTAGGGGAAACGTTAAACTTCCTTTGTACCGACACATTGAGAACAGCACCTCTGATGAATGGAAAATCATCTGGAATCCGACTGGCAACAACATCACATATGCTTCTCTCATAGGCATCCCGGTTGTCGGTCTACCTACGGATGGAGTCAGCAATTTCAATATTAAAGCCCGTCAATGGGATATAACCTGTTCGAGCAACGAAGGCACCAACGACAACCAGACAGACTTCGATAACCTGTACACATGGAAACTGTCCTATACCGATAATAAGACTCCAGTATGCCAAAATCAAACACAGTGTAACCTCACAACGTGCAGCGGTTATCCTTGTCCAATCCGTAGCGTATCGCTCGCCAGCAACGAAACCTATCTTTTTTCCGTAGCCGCGTGCGGCATGACGTTTGAGAACTTCGAGGCACAAGTACAATGTACAGGGCGGGCATGTGCTGTACAAAAGATGAGGAAAATTCCGTTATTCGACGACGATTACCCAATAGGGTACGATAAGACCATGCGCAATATGTTCACCGTCGCCTCACTCCACTACATGACTACGCTGGATAACTACAACATAGCAAGTAGAGTAGCTCGAGGCTCCACCAACATGGAAAGATGGATGAGAGACCCTTCGCGATTCATTGGCTTAATGTACAACAATGTGAACCTGTATGAGCTGTCTCCACAGCTCTTTGGAGATCGACTGACCATCGCGTACAACACTTACTGGCAGTCAACGTATGGAACCTCCTCTCTGGCTGGCAATCTACCCGATTCTGTAGCAGAGACTGGAGTACTCCGAGTTGCAACGCCTGACGCCCCTTCCATCTCCAACATATCATTTGTGGTGTCGGAAGCATCCACAGTCACAAAGACAAAGCCAGTGTACAAGACGAACTGGAAGTGGTTCACAGCGCTCATGGTGTGCTCTTGCATCCTATTGGTGGCGGCGTACACTGGCCTTGTTCTCAAATACATCACTATCGCGCCAGACATCATCGGCTACGCCTCTTCTCTAACAATCCTAAACCCATATGTTCCGACACCAACAGGAGGAACTACACTCCACGGCCTGCAACGCGCAGCCTTGCTACGCGACTTGCCGGTGCGTATAGGTGATGTTAGCCCCAACGAGCCCGTCGGTGTCATTGCGCTTGCCAAAGCCGACACGGAGCAAGTAGCAAGACTAGACAGGCAACGGTCGTACATATGAAAAAAAAAGAAAAGGATAAAAGACTTTTTGAGACCAGCGCCGCTGCATACTCATGCCGTCCTGTAAGCGCTAAGGCGACGGAGCAAGAAATCTGAAGGCCGCCAAGTATGATGCGTATACCACAACCGATGTAAAGGAAAACACCACCCTTCTCGAATGACACCTGTTGTATCATGTTTGAACCCCACGGCATACAAACTCGCTTGTACAGGTACATACGTAATAAGTGGGCGCTGCGGTGTTATGCCTCAGAAATGAACCGAAACACGGGTCGGCGGGTAGACATGACAAGTGAGGACACCCCCCCCCCCATCCTCCCTTAATGTCCGAGTCCACTTGAAACTGAACAGCCCTACATGCACACACAGAGAGAAAACGCTCTACAAAAACTTGCTGCAACGTCTTTGAGTGATTTAGGTGTTTAGACGGCATAGTCCGGTTAAAGGAATAATGAGGCGTTTGGTGTGTCGACTCCACTACATATTGGGTTTCAGCGTGCCTGAGGTGCACGCCCCTAAGGCTAAACGCCCGTGTCTTACCTTTTTGGTCGCTTCTGTGACATGTTGGCTGGTAAAGCCGAAATGGTGCCTACTCTACTGTACAATTTCTGTTTGCAGAAGGTGAGAAAGAGGTGGGCGGCGGTCGTCAGCAGGATGAAGCAATGATGACGAGTACGTATATATAGTATGTAGAGAACCCAATGTCTTGATTATTTTTGAGAGAACATCATCAAGAGTGTGCGGGTCTTCACTCGTTTATTTCGTACTTCTTAGTTCGACTTCGTTTCTGTAGCGCCAGTCGCCCATTTTTGTTTCGACAACTCATATTTCGTTTACTATCAATTACAAATACGCCTTTTTACTACACGAATACCTTCTTCACGGCCTTACAAAGGAACTCAACCAAAAAAAAACTCTCTGAAAATGAAGTTTACCAACGCCGTCGTTGCCTTTAACGTCGCCGCGCTTATCAACGCGCTGGCCATCTCCTCACGCCAGAATAACATACAAACCTTCACGGGCGCTCTCGGTGGCAAAGCGGCTACTCCCGTTCTGAACTCCGGCAATGCCGACCGCCCATTTAGCGTCGGAGGCGATACGTTTGTGAATGCTGGGGCTGCCCTACAGCGATCTTGCGACCAGCAGTTCAATGCTTGTGCAAACTTGGCGAACGGTGGAGACGCGAGTATTTCCGTGGCAGATTGTACGACGCAGAAGAGTAAGTCCAATTGCAGTTGAGGAATTGAAAAGATGATTTTTTACTGATTGGTTTTGCAGATCAATGTACCGCACAGGATACTGCGGGCGCGGCTCAGGCTCAGGGTGCCGCTCAAGCTGGAGGCCAGAACAATAATGCTCAGAACAACAACGCCCAAAATAACAATGCCCAGAACGCAGATACTGGCAACGCAGCTAATGGCAATGCTGCTACCGGTGCCGCCCAGAACAACAACGGAGCCCAGAATAATGTGGCTTGCAATGGAGCTCAAGCTGGAGCTGCGAATGGTGCCGCCCAGAACAACCGAAGGACTCAGAAGGCCAGGAAGGCTTAGAAGATCGACAGGGCTGAGAAGACGGACAAAATCGACGTCACTCGTGGGTAAGACCTCAGCTTTGAAAGCGACTGTACAACATGATACAGTGCTGGTTACGCTGGCATTCCATGATGGAGACGGGAGAAAAGCCCGGTGCCTCAATAGACAAGATATAATACCACATACAATCTGCAGACTGCATGTAAAGCAATTTACAATGTTCCGATCACGATCTGTAATCTTGACACCTTGTTTCTCTCTACCGTGATGCTGTGCTTGGATAAGTCTCCTTGTCCTGCTCCGCTGTATTTGTTCCTGTATTTTGTTTCTTTGGTATGTTCTTCAAACACGGCGCGTAGAATAGATGGCCGGTCCATGCGCCTCTGACTGTGCCAGCGAAGACGACGCACCAGAGAATGATTACAGCGATTGAGAAGATGGTCCCTAGGACTCTGAAGAACATACTTGGAATGATATGGCCAAGTTCGATGGTGCTGAGTGCGAAAACCCCCAGAGGAAACGTGAAACCCCACCATCCCATGGAGAACGGGATCGGACGAGATTTGTATATAGAGGCCAGAGCAAAACACAACCACGTCAGTCCAAAAGACCACATGATGAGCGCTATGAATATTCCAATAACGAAGAAGACATCTCCCGCAATCGGGATATCAGAGAACGACCCAGTCTGCGGAAAGATACGACGACATGCCGATCCAAGATGCACAACGGCATAACCACCCAGTCCCAAGGGGCCAAGCGGCAAGAAAGACGACACAATAATCTCGCGAGGCGGCAGTTTATGCAACGCCAAACGAGTATAATACATGACAATGACCGTCATCGACAGCGGCACAGACATACCCCACATAATATACGATGCCAGTATCGTTCCAAGCGCATGCTCCGGATCGATCAGGTGCTCCGCGACTCTCGCGCCTGCTCCAGACGCGACCACGGACGCGGAGATAGGCAGCAGCTGCGCAGCGGTAATCTTATCCAACGCCTGCCTTCTCGACGCGGAAATCAGCAGCACAGTCAGCGAAATGGTAACTGCCACCGCGACGGCCGCATCGAGCATCCAGCACACCCACGCAAACGTGACCGCCCAGGGTCCCCAGTACGGGATGCACAGCGAGCACCACGCCGAAATCAGCGTGGAAAAGCCCATTGGCACCGTGCCGAGGAAAAGCGAGTTGGCACTGTCGGCAATCATGACTGGCCAGATCTCCGGGTACGCGATGTACCGGAATACAGAGATGGCCAGGGCGCAGGAGAAGAGGAGGGCGTTGAGTCCGAAGAAGAGGACGGAGAGCCAGTAGAGCCAGTGGGCTTGGAAGGGAATGGAAATGAAGAGTAGCGACACTACGCCTGTGCCGGTTGTGACGGAGAACCACGAGGGAGAGAAGTTGCGGACGATGCGGCGCCAACCGACCTAGTTGTTACGAAGAAAAAAATATCAAGTTAGTTTAGGGAAATGTATGTTTGTTTGTTTGTTTGTTTTTTCAGGAAAAGGTTGGGGGAAGTAGTTTACATCGTATTTTGATGGATATTCTTCTTCATCTTCTGGTATAATATCATCGTTGGAGCCGGTTGGTGCGCTGGTTCCTCGTGAATTCCTAGACTTTTGGCGCTGCACGGGTGTGCCTTGGGATGTCGGCGGCCACAGGGCTGGATTATTCGTTCCTACACGATCCAACTCGTATTCATCCATGGTTCCCCACCCCGAAAAAAAGAAATCTCCTCTTTTTAATGGCAGCAATCGTACACAGTGGTGCGGCTTTCCAAGTTCATCACATAATTTTTTTTAAACTTTGAAGTGGGGGAAGATCTATGTATGACGAAGTTGGGGGGGGGGGGGGGGTTGTTGGCGCGTGCGGAGCCGTTTCCACCCGGGAGCGAGAACTCACAAATGGTGGTCGATTCGAGGTCCAATCACGTGGCGAGCACGGACCGATCGGTTTCACAAGATTGGACTTGCCCTCGCATCAGAGCAAGGCGACATTTCCCTTCTCTATCTTTTCCCACCCCTACTTGCCTTACTTACGCCATTGCACTAGACCGTTATCTCACGACACGATTGGGGGAGAAAAGAGAAAAAGGTGTTCCGGCCTGGCTTCCGTCCCTTTCTTGCCACCGTAGCCCTGCTGTTCCTTCGTCCACTTTACTATCTTGGAAACCGCATGTTTTTTTTTGTTTTCGGGTTGGTTTATTGCTCTTACTACGTCAACCTTCGTTTGCTGTTCGCTGTTCCGTTCCCTTATTTTTTTTTTCCTTTTCTTTGGTTGCCCACCCGTCGGTAAATAAGGTCCCAACAAAGGTCGTCCTTTGCTGCGCCGGCCTTACTTGTTTTTGCCCAACTATCTGTGGACCCCGCGCGTGTGTGTGCCAGGACCCTGACGGGTTGTTCAAATCGGGGGGTGGAAAGCGCCTAGTCAGAAAGAGCAGACAGATTATCAGTTCATCTGATTGTTTTTTCCTTACGCGGGACACGCGCGCCCGCGCGAAAAAGAGAGATAGCGATGCCCGGGTTTTTGGATCTGCCGCTGGAGCTTCGCAACCATGTTTACGAGATGCTGCTTGGGGAAGAGCTAGAGCCTTGTTTCCGTGGGGTAATGGTCGTGTCTGAACACTACGTGCGCAACGACTTGCCGCTTCGATGTTACCGGGGGCTCTTGCGCGTGTGCCGGCAGACGTATCGCGAGTTCAAGCAAGCAATACAGCACCAAGTTGCGTCGAAGCGACTGAGATACGAATTGGATATTACGTTTTCACATGGCCGCCCTTACTTTTCTCTGACGTGGATACACTTCGCCGCCCTCTCGCCCACGATTAATCAGTTGTGCATTAATGTCGACTTGCGCACGCGCGAGCCACTGCGGGACGGGCCCCGAGAGTCGTTTGTGCCGCACGAACATGAGCTGGCGCATTTGCTCGAACACTCGCCCACCTGTTTTGCAAAGCAGCTCTTCGACTACATTGCCATTTTCCTAAAGACATTGGCAAATTTGCTCTTCCAGGGAGACCCACACTTCAGCGTCCTCTACACTGAATCTATGACACTGAACCTGCGTACTCCGACCAAAGTCGTCGCCCTCGGAGGCAGTGGCCACAATCCTATTGCGCTGTCGCGCCGCCTCCGTGTCGACCAGACCGAGGCCCGCAAGCTCCACGATACCATGCGCGATACGCTGCGTGCCACGTCGAAGCATTTCCAGGCCTTCAACGCAAATGAGTGTGACCGTCTTTTCCCACTGATACAGATTGGTTCTTTGCGTTTTGCTACTGAAGGTGAAGTCTGGGGCGAAGGTCACAATCTAGTCCTCGCACACGACGATTTCCAGTGGTTGAGGTACTAGGCGTCTTTTTTGCGGTGTGCGTTGGATGATATGAATTACGATTTGGATGATTGACAGTACATATATCTATAGACAGGAGGAGTTTTCTTCACGCGTGAAAATGTTGTGGGCGTTTTTCTCTCTTTGAACGGCGTGCATGGATTTCATACAGATTGTGCATGTTTTCTTCTTCTTTTCTACATCAGCGGTTTTTGTGTTGTTGGGTGGTAAATCCTGGCTTTACAGTACACAGAGAGCTGTCTTTTGTACATGTCAAGCTCACAGCTTGGGAAACAAGGATGTTTCTTGACTTCAAATTTTCCACCATGACACTTTGACTGCTGCTTTTCATTCTTCAAACAAAAAGCGAATAGATATTTTGGTAACTTTGTCCCAATGCCCCCTTTTTAAGCGATTTACATAGACTCCTCTAGATAATGTGAAATAGAGACTATAAAGAACCAACAAATGATTCCCAACGCCACAAAATGCCACGCATGTATCTGCATTCCAAGTCCTCAATCGCTAAACCCCTCAAACTCATCCCCCTCATCCTGCGCCTCCTTCTCCGCCACCCTCTTCCTCACTTGGGCAATCATACCCTTCAACCTCGCATCCTCCTTGCGCTCCTCTTCCGTCATAGCAGCAACACGCTCATGCTCCCGCTTCGCCGTCTTCTTCTCCCTCCTCAACTCCTTCAGCGCCTTCAAATCCTTCTGGTGCGTCCACGCCGCCGCCTTCTTATCCTCAGGCACATATTTCTTCTTCTTTCCCTCAGCCTTGGTAGCTTCGTATTCGGCCTGCTCGGTTTGACGTTGCTGCTCGCGCGCTTTGTCTTTGTATGCGTAGGTGGCGAAATCAATGGTGACGCCGAGACTGCGGTCGCCATCCCATTTCTTGAGCTCGGGCATGCTGGGGAGCTTGAGGAGGCCCCATGAATGGCCTTGTTCTGTCCAGTCGAGGTCTGGGATGCGGAAGATGGAGCTGGCTGTGTGTTTGCTGTATGCGCGGACCCAGGAGACGAAGCCGCGTTGGGCTTTGTCGAATAGTGCTCGGTCGGATTTGACTACTTTCCTTATCTTATTGCTTGTTGCTTGTGCTTCTTCGTCTGAAATTTCGATCTTCGGGGTGGTTAGAGGCGATATTGGTGTTTGCCGGACTCGGAGAAACTCGACATAGTCTTCTTCGCGGCCTGGGTTGAGAAAAGTTACAGCCAGTCCTTTGCGGCCAGCTCGACCGGCACGGCCACATCGATGGATAAAGGTCTTGGGGTCACTTGGTGCGTCGAGTTGCAGGACTAGGTCGACTGAAGGTATGTCGAGACCTCGAGCTGCTACATCGGTGGTTAAGAGGATACTTGGTGTCATGCTATCAACAAACTTGTTGAAGTTCCTACGGCGAACCTTGTCGGGGTGCTTGCCATGCATAGGCACAATGGTGTATCCCTTGAGAACTTCTGGTAGGACGTGTTGGAAATAATCGACGGAATAACATGTTGCCAAGTACATTATCGACTTTTGGGGCTGTGGCTGCAAAGACGCCAGTAGTTTCTTGATAGCTGGGAGTTTGTGAGACGCAGGCATAACAAGGTACGACATTTGCAAACTCGCAGGTGTCCTCTTATCCTCTATCGCGCCAGCCTCGCCTGTCGCACTGTTGGTAGCTCGGGCCTTGACCTTGACAGCGATACGAACCGGATTTCGAAGACCGACACGAATGAGTTGGTCGACTGCCTCGCTGACACTTGCACTGAACAGGCCGGTTCGGCGCTGCTTGGGAAGACGAGAAAGGATTTTCTGAAGATCATCCTTGAAGCCAAGATCCAGAAGTCTATCGGCTTCATCAAGTACAAGAGCATCAAAAGACGACTGTGAGCAGTGGACGTGCGGTGAGGAGAGGAGTTCGAGAAGGCGACCAGGGGTACCGATAAGAACATTGGTTGATGATTTCAAGAATCTGCTGAGATCTTGTGCTGGCGTAACTGAGCCACCCAGGAGCAGCTGAGGAACAACTCGCAGGGTTCCTGGTGGAAAGGTTGGCTTTGGTGGAGCATCGGCATCTTCCATGTCGGTATCTTCATCTTCGGGATCCAATAGGGCTGCTGAGGGGCCATGAAATCTAAGAAGGGAGGCCAGGACTGTGTAAATCTGTGTTGCGAGTTCTCTGGTTGGTGATATGATGATGGCGCCCACGTGATGCTTCTTTATGGGCGCATCCAGTCGCAGCAACCGCTCGACAATAGGTATAAGAAAGCTGGGGATATATTAGCACTTGTGTGTTATGAAGATGCATGAGCATTACGCTAGGGTTTTTCCACTTCCTGTGACGGCCTCGACTACAACATCCGAGTTCTTCATGAACATGGGAATGGCCGCGTGTTGCACCGGCGTGGTTTTCACAAAGCCCATGGAATCGACCGCCTCAAGAATCCATTCCGATAAGGCTGGGGTCAGAGCGCCAAAAGAACGATCTATCTTCGCCTGAGGCGCCATGGTGGAGTTCAGGGTTGCAAAAAGGGTTTTGATGTGGTTGGCAGAGTCGCCATGATGGTTCAAAAAAAAGTTATGATGCGTGCACGGACCATACAAGGCTGGCTGGCGGCAATCATGATAAGGTTGAGCCCAGCCAGGCGTGTTCAGGGAACATCATTCAATCAGTCGCTACGTAGCAAGGCTGGAGAAAGTTAAGCTTGTATTTCTATAATTAGTCGTCGGATCAATTAGTAGGTGATTGCTAGGGAAAAACCACTAATACTTTCAAGACGTCATCATGACACTGTTAAAAGAGAGACCCGTGCGCAAGAGACGTACTACAACACCGTGCAAGATTTTAGAAATAGCTGTATAGGATACAATATATGAGATCGCGTATGCTCTATCGCATGTAGTTCATGACAAGCATCTTTTTATTCTACGAGATCCCGGGATTGCTCATGTCCGATTGTCCGAATGGCATCGCCAAGACGGCTCCACGCCACGCTGATCTCTGGCACATGCGCGAACCAGTTTCTACGTTGGTAGCCCTGCAGACCAATTTCCCAATTTCATGCCACAAGATTACTGCTTCGCCGCCGCTGTTGCTGTTGGTCCTTCGCATCCCCTGCTCACCCGCCCCAAGCACGTAATTAAGACGACCGCTGTTGTCGCCGACAAAAATTGTGGCCTCTCCCGTCGCCTTGGGCCATGGGGGCTGCCCGGACGAATCCACGGGCTGTGAGTGTGATTTGATAGCCAAATCTGACATCAATGGCGAGACCGGCGTACTAAAGGCCACCCTCCCGCGTGACAGCTGTGACACGCCTACCCAGCCTCGTCCCCTCTGCCTGGAATCCTCAGGCCCGCGTTCCTTGCTTGTCCACCTCGCTTTGCTCTGCTCCACGGCCCGCTCCACCCTCTCCGGCGTCATCCGCACTCCTGCTTTTCCTCATTTTCCTGTCTGCTGGCGTGTCGCCATGGAATCGTCGCGCCGGTATCAAATCCCCCACACGCCGCGCGTGATATCGCCTTCGCCTACGCCCTCGGAGGCTGGCAGTACAAGAGATGGCTACTTTGGGCCCGTAACGCGCTCAGCAACACGCAAACAACGGGTTACGTCACCACCATCAATCGATGAAGACTCGTCTGGCTCCGACCCCGACCAGAGGGCGCGAACTCGAAGCCGGAGTCCGGCGGTTGCAAAAATGCCAGGAAGGCGGCGAATGAGCGCCCTGGCGAGCCGACGACAGATGAATGGAGTCAACAAGAAGGAACTTTCGTTGCCTGGCGACACAGCAAATGTTCATTTATCGCCGGCAGCAGCCAACAAAAACTACTGGAGAGAGATGAGCCGAAGCCCGAGCCCTCTGGGCCTTATTCCTATCCATCAGAAATGGCGATCATTTGTGAGTTTCACATGTCAATTTTTTTTGCAGACCCCTCCTAACAGCCATAGATACATCGTCACGAGATACCCCGAAAGATTCTTCACGTTTCCATCGGCTTCCTGACCATCTTCCTATACTGTACCGGCACGCAAACATCGCAAATTCACAATGTGCTCCTTACATTGCTGGTTCCTATTGCCCTCACTGACGTCATCCGCCACCGCTACTGGCAAGTGAACCGCCTCTACATCCGCTTCCTGGGCGCGTTGATGCGTGAATCCGAAGTAGATGGGTACAACGGTGTCATTTCATACCTTCTCGGCGCATGGATCGTGATGCGCTTCTGTCCCAAGGACATTGCAGTGATGAGCATCTTGCTCCTGAGTTGGTGCGATACTGCTGCTTCGACTTTTGGCAGACTGTGGGGCCATCTGACGCCGAGGGTGAGGAAGGGCAAGAGTCTGGCAGGATCCATCGCAGCATGTGTAACTGGTGTCATTACAGCTGCGGTGTGGTGGGGCTGGCTCGGTCCCACGTTCTCAGAGTACAACCACGGCGAGCACGCATTTGCATTTCAGGGCGCCCTCACGCTGCCCCTGCAAGCACGAGAACGGCTCAACCTGTCTGTAAGCCAGGCTTCGGTTACGGGCCACGTGGCTTTGGGTGTCATGTCCCTGGCAGCCGGCATCATTGCCAGTGCCAGTGAAGCCATAGACGTTTTTGGGTGGGACGACAACTTGACCATTCCTGTGCTCTGCGGCGCCGGTCTCTGGGGTTTTGTCAAGGTGTTTGGATGAGGCCGGGCTGTATGATGCGACGACACACATTTCTTCTTCTCTGCTCTTGTAATATCACTCTGCGTCACTTTGGATGGAATCGATACCCTAGACACACAGCCCTTTGGTAATGGCATGGATGCAATGGTTTGGACGGCGTTGAGGAATGTACTGTATGTAGGAAATGGACAGAGGTAATATGAAACCAATACATGGACATGGACAAAGACATGTGTGATGCAGCCACTCAGCTGCTTCTGTGCAATGACGCTACGGGAGGCTTATCGAGTTTCAAGCCGAGGTCCAAGAAATGTCGTGTCGATTGCATGTCGAGTGCCCAATACAGCGCATCTTCACGCCCCCGAGAACAAACAGCGACGGTGAGCTCGTTCGACATGCACCGCAGATGCAAAAGGGAAAGCCTGGATACCGTAAGGGAGGCTTGCCATGGGCGATTCGGCTTGGCGCATGCCGCCACATGCAACGCGGCGATTGGGGGTCAGTCGGCCATGACAGCAGCCTTTATTCTTTAAAAGCCTGCCACGGCCAGGTTGGCCAGTCCAAGGGTCTGACGGGCAGAGAGACAGATGAGTTGCCATGATGGTCGCTGACAAGGCATATTACTGATTGCCCCGACTGATTGTCCACGCAAAATGCCCTTCTGCTCACCTGCCGGCAATCTGACTTCTGCCTCTATTGCCCCGCCATCGTAGTCGGGTACCCACCGCAACGCATCTCCACACCACACCCTGCGCCCAAACGCGCCTCTGGACCCTCCATCTGCTGGCGGCTGCCGCTCTTGGCTTGGCTTCTGCTGCACGTCATCTGCGCCGTTTGTGACCTCTCTCAAGTCGACGTTTTCCGTTTGCGCCCGCTGTCCTTTGGTCCTACTCTACTTCTCCTTTGCACCCCACACGCCTGTACACAACCACCACTCACCATGGCTTCATCGTCGGCAGCAGCAGGCCTGTTGTCTCGCCAGCTCAAGCAGATGCAAAACGACAAGAGCATATCGGGCATCAGTTGCGGACTAGTCGACAACAACGTGTTTGAGTGGGAGGTGATGCTGATGATTGACGATGACACAAAGTTTTACGGAGGTGCGACCACTACTACACCTTCATGGCGACCACATGCTCACACGCCACACAGGAGGTTTCTTCCGCGCCCGTCTGACCTTCCCCACCGAATATCCTTTGCTGCCACCTAAGATGCGCTTCGAGACCCCAATTTTCCACCCTAACAGTGAGTTCCCTACACATCTTCTCCTCCACTTCCCTAACCAACACACACCATAGTCTACCCAAACGGCGACGTCTGCATTTCGATCCTGCACCCCCCGGAAGAAGACAAATACGGCTACGAATCTGCCGCCGAGCGCTGGTCACCCGTCCAAACCCCCGAAACTATTCTTCTCTCCGTCATATCCATGCTCTCTAGCCCCAACGACGAGTCGCCTGCGAATGTCGAGGCCGCCAGCCTGTGGCGAGACAACACACCCGAGTTTAAGAAGCGCGTAAGAAAGTGTGTGAGGGATAGCTTGGAGTTTGAGTGAAGTACAGTGGTGCAACTTGGGCTGGCAAACATGATCATGACAAACAAGCATAAGCGCGGTGGATTTATCTTTGGTTAGGGCTAATTTACTGGTTCATGGCGTGCCTGGCGTCGTACATAAATATTTTTGAGGATTTGGTGGATGCATCGCATGTTGAGAATCAACATGGTACATGTATACCAAGATTTTGTGCATGTTCACTTTGCGACACGAGTGATGAGATGTTTGAAGAAAATCTCAACGGGGTTTTATGGAGATGAGTTGGCTATGAAGGCTAAGTCAACAAACGCCACATCACTTTCTAACAAGCACTCTACTAATCAAAATCCCAGAAAAATATATAATATTTGTATACCCTATAATTATCCCCCTGATTCAAGCCCCTATTACTATATCCCATTTCGTATACATAACCATTCCCCTCATTCCCAAGAAAATCCACCAGAGTAAGAAGAAGAAAAGAAGCGGAAAAATATTAGTGTACAAGCCCCCGCCACCGTATCATCTTTAGCAGCGCCATCGCCTCGATTTCGAATCGACAGAAGAGCATGTCTCATCTAGATCACACCAAGTCCGAGCAGCAAGAGCGCCGTGCAAATCAACCCATCACCACCGAGGTTTCCCAGCCCGCCAAGCGGCAAAATACAGCATTGAGCCGAGAGACCGTTTTGGGCACATTGGGCGTTGAAGGCATCGGGTGTGGTGACGGCACCAGCTATGTTCATGTTAGCATCGCACATTTGTATCTGAAGAGTTCCCAAGGCAGATTTGGGAAGGGGAGGGGTGGGGAAAAGGTATGAAACTTACCACTAGCACAGTTGGACACACCCAGCAAACCAGTCTGGCAGCAGAGGGGAGAAGAAGAACCGCAGATGCCGCCGCCGTGGCCGTGACCGTGACCATGGCCATGGCCGCCTTGTCCGCCGTGTTCGCCTTGGCCGCCTTGTTGATCACCTTCCTGGCCTCCTTGCTGACCGCCGCCTTGCTGACCATATGGGCCTCCTTCGCCGCCTTGCTGACCACCTGGACCTCCTTCGCCGCCCTGGCCGCCCTGGCCGCCTTCACCCCCCTCGCCTCCTTCACCTCCTTCGCCGCCGCCGAGGAGACCGCCGCCTAGGCCGTCGAGTTGGGGTTGAGGGAGGGCGATTGCGCTGCTGAGGGCAAGGAGCGAGGTCAGGGTAATGAGGATGAAACGCATTTTTGATATTGTAGTTTTGGTTTGGATGGTTGGAAGCGAGTGGAAAGAATTGAAAAGTTTAAACGAAAGTGTTTTGTAGATAGTTGGATAAGTTGGTGATGAGACTGTGTTGATGATGAGCAAATATTTCCCTGGTAATCAAGACTGTTCTTATATACCATCTTCTTCTTTACCACCACACCCACAACTCTCCATCCCCCCAGTTAATCTTCCGAACTCGATCTATGGTGTTCACACTCCCACCTCCCTTCGGCCCTACCATATCATCTCTCTTTATTTTTCTACCGCAGAATATGCACAGTTTTTTTTTTTGCTTTTCATGTTCCATGTGTATACGTGCTAAGCAAACGCCTCCCCTCCACACACACACCCATGTGAAGATCATACATGACAACCTTAAATTCCCACAAAAATTCTCCGTGTGGCTCGGCTTAGGGTGCCGGTAACTGTGATGGATTGTGCAGAAAAAAAGGGATCCACTGCAAGGTTTTCTCGCTTCCTAAGACGATGGATGTTGTTGTTCGCGGTGTAGATTTTTGCTTTTTCTTCGGGAATGACAGTATGGCGCGGTCTTTCTCTTGCCCAATTAGGAAGTAAATTGGAGCGAGGCTGGGTGTTTGCGGCGGCTAAGCTTTAACTTTTGTGGGTACATGTCAAAAGTAAAGACTAGTTGGCTGCTATATGTGGAAATTAGATACGATCGAGTGGGTTGCGGCTGTGGGGGATCGACACGCACGCACGTGAGTGAAAAGGTCAAAGAACATGGGTTGTTCGATTTATCGGTATAAACAGAATGGGAATCTTCGGACTAAGAATAGAATTGGGATGTACATCGCATGGGGGTTTTGGGAGAGCCTAGTGTGATTGGAGAGGCGAGAAGAAGTAACCCATAACGGAGAATTCTACTAATCTGAGTGGCTCCGCGTGGCTTTGCAAGTGTCCGAGTGGCATTGCTTGATAAGATGGCAGTGATTGACATTAAACCAAGAAGACAAAGAGATGACAAGGGGAGCGCAAAGTCGCAAAGTTATCTTTTTCGTCTACGTAAGTACGTTACAGAAAGTCTTAAACCCAAGCACACGCACACACACATGCCTACAAACTCCCCTTCCAACGTAACCTCTCTTTTGCACAAACCCTACACCAAAAAGTACCCTTGTTGTCCTGATCCAAGCACAGACAACATGTAGAAGAAGAATTCGTAAAAGCAGTCTAGCGCTTACACACGGGGCCTGCCAAGTGATATAACACTATGCTATAGTCATGACGCCACCAGTGCTAATTATACAATCACCAACACCGCGAGGAAAGCCGCAGCCCAGCCAAAAGACGATGTCTGAAGCATGACTCCGTAGTTCTTCTCCTCTTCGTCCTTGTTGTCGCTGTTGAGAAAGTCGAAAGTAACATTCCTGGCGGGCCTCTTTGGCCTCCTTGTCCTGCGCGACCTGGCCTCGACAGTCTTGCTAGGAATATTGAACCAATCCAGCAGTCCCCCGGACGTGCTTTGGGTTTTTGTTGCACCGAGCACCTTGCGGGCGACCGTGTGTGTCTTTGACCACGACCCCATGAGCAAGTCTGCGACATCCTTGGGCTGGCCGTCGGTTGTGTTCAGAAGGACTTGTGTGGAGCCTTCCATCAAAGGAAGCTTCTCCACAGATAGCTTGGCGACAGAAGGTGCTTGGGTGGCGGGCTTGTTCGGGTCTACAAGCTCAAACACCATCTTGCCGTCCACCATGGTCTTTAGGGACGACGAGATAAGGCCCGGCTGCATAATGCACATGGACGAGGGTGAGTCACACTTGGTGCCGTTTTTAGATATGACGAGCGTGTAAGTGCCGGGCATCTTTTCCTCAGTGCCGATTCTGACAGCTACGCCATTGTCCGGAGCGGCTGAAAAGCGAACATGTTAGTACAATGTTTTCTTTGATACACAAAAAGCCAAGATGCCAACTTACCCTCTGCTACAATGCCATCCTTGATGCTGAGAGCAGCAGCGTTGAACTCCACCGCAAGATCTCCCACAGTCGCAGCCTGTGCGTACTTCTGAAGGCCAGCCAACATAATCGTAAAGTAAAAAGCGTGCATTTTAGCGAGAAAAAATGTCCGAAGAAAAGATGTGGGTGGTAGGCTAAGAAAATATGACCGCACAGCAGCTGAATGAATTGAACTGTGAAGAGGATGGGGGAAGAAAAAAAAGCACCACAGCACCTCCGATAAATATACATGATTATCATCACCATGCGGTATAGTCATGATTCGATTAATACCAGCATGTTTTCTTCAAGTCAGTACCGCATAGACTGCGCTTGCCTGGTGTTGATGAAACAGCGGCATAGGCATCACATGACAAAGTGGACAGATAGGCCTTCTCCAGGCCTCTTCCCAGTCACCTACACAGAATAGATTGGCCCTGCACTCATTCACACGCAATGCTGGCTGTTGATCGCAACGTCGGCCGTTGATTCAAAACAGAGCAAAGCTGCGGGGTAAGAATAAACAGCAATGCAAATGCCATAACACCATAAGCATATAGCCTATTTTTTGACTCGTAGTATACTAAATACAGCAAACCAACCATCTAGGTAGACTAATTTGAAACTAAGTCTCTGGTCAAGGCATGTTGCAACGCGCACAGACGGGTTTGGGGGGGTTCAAAATAGAGTGCCAAGCTCAAGGCCAAGCTCAAGGCCAAGAGCAGCGCACAGGCTTGTTATAGAGCGACGAAACTCGTGACGGCTATACTAGGTGCTAGTTCTCTTTGCGACAGAACGACTTCATGCTTGCACGTGTTTTCGTCTGGCTAGCTGCTAGTGGCTGCGTGTCACAGTACCGCCGCTTAAAGCCAGCAGAGGCCGTGCGCGACCAATGCTAGACAACTAACGTCAATGCTAAGGTAAGCAGTGTATACACGCACGTCAAGCCAAGTCATTCTCGAATGCTGTCATCGTTTGGGGTTTGCAACTGTCTGTCGAAGCAGGTCTTACAGGAGCCTGTGTGTGTGATACTAGGAGATTTCAGATGTTTCTGGTGTTTATGCTACTGGTCTTGGTAGCTCTTTCGTCGAAACTTTGGTATTCACTTGGCATCTTGCATCGTCTGATGTTTCGCTCCCAGTATCCATCGTTCAGAATGTATAAAGACGTGGTGTTGCACACCATTTGGAAATCATCGCATCATCAGCATCCGATCCCACCATCACTTCCATTCCATTGGTCTCGCAGGTTGAAGATCGCTCATTTTCATCTTCAATTCAATATTCCAAGCCGGTCTTTCTTTTCCAAACTCTTCCCTTCTCACCTCTTTCAGCTCCACCCAGCTCCTTCCAACAACTTTCAACATGCATTCTTCTACCATTGCAGCCATTTTGGCATTTACTGTCGGCATGACTGTGAATGCCGTGCCTGTTGTTCGCCCGGAAGGCACTCCCGAGCCTCCAGCTGATCGACTTCGGACAACCCTTGAGAATTCTGGCGCTCAGCCTCAGCTGTAAGTCTTTCTACTGAAAACTACACCAGGCGTTGTATTAACAGCATCAGAAGCGAACTTGCTGAAAATGAATTCACTACCCCTTCAGTTGGGAAGAGAGACCATCCGTACAAGTCTCCTCCTGCCTGTGGCGATATGACCGAAATATCCATTGGAATACCCTGCATTAGCTCAGACCTTACCGACGAGCTCAATCGCCAACCCAACCCCGTTTCCCTTCCCGGTGCTGCCAACGCACGAGTTATCAAAAGAGACCCTCAGCGCCGACCCGGTAACGATGATCGCATGGGAGGCCATCTCGGGATTCCGGACTCTCCAACTCTCGAAGAATTGCTAGACAGGGAGAAGCAAGCCGGCTTCCGCAAGGAAAAGAGGCAGTCCCACGACAAAACCCGCCCGCTTCTTCTTCTCGACCCTAATGCCAAGGGCGATTTTGACGACAGTATAACTATCGACCCTTCTACTGTCAGTCAACCCAGGTTGTTGAAGCCTGGCCAGAAGAAAACGAGAGCTCTTAGAGGAATCGGTGGTGATAAGCGTATCCGCCTTGGTTGGGATCCCCTTGTCGACAATGATGGCAACATCATCAATCAGAAAGAGAAGCGTGATCCCCAGGTCATTGATGCTGGTTTCGGTTTTGACGCAGGTGTT